AGGTGTTTGTCATTGCGAAATGAAATCCGAACAATAAAACGGTCATTATTGGTAAACGTTGGCAAACTGCAAATCCAACTGAGTGCTTACTAAAGTTAGGTGACCTAAAATGTCGAGTTAATACATTTTAGGTCACCCATCCTGTGATTGACCGTGGTAAATATTTCTTAACGACCGTATTGCATTAACCACTACACTATCAAGCTCCTCTTTCTTTTAAAGAAAAATACTTAGCTTATCGGAATCTAAGCAATGTAATGCTATATAATATGTGTTTTATAATGTATTTTGATCTGGCCCAGACTGGTGGTTAGCACATTAGACGCTCCGTTTACTGGAATAGTTGCGTCTAATGGCCGTTCAGCCGTTTCCCAAAGAACTTATTGACTATTCAAGCGTCTGTGAGATCCTCTAAGGGATTTCTATTCAGTGGGTCGTATTACAAAATTCTTTCAAATTCCCTATCATAAATTGTATGATATATATGAATGGGTCAGTGTATTTAAAGCTATGAACATGTTATGATTAACGGAGGAGCTCGATCCGATACGGTTGTTAAGCAAATTTCGCAAAGACTGTTCATAGCATGGGTGACCAATTAATTATGTCGAGCTCCTCCGTGCTTCGGAAGGCACGTTAAGCAGTTGGTCTCAGCTGCATATGCTGTCGTTAACACCCACCAATCCGCACTGGGAGGGCGTGGTGGGACATGGCCCATTCTCCCTATTCGATTTCATTCGATTCCGTCCTTAAAGAAGGCCGCAGCCTCCGCAGTGTTATCGTGCACACTTATATTGTTGTATCATCTTTTGTTAATCTGAATAATAATAATAAAAAAAGATGTTAATTTATTTAGGTTATTATTTTGTTATACCTTGTACACTTAAGGTTGTGTAGCACTATCCTTTCTGTCGCTGAGAACTGTCATTTGCTAGAGCAAGAACAATAGCGTGTTGTCTATTACCTTTAGAAATCCGATGCGGACTACCGCACACATGTTATGTTTCTCGCTGTATAAAATGGCGGTTCTACTAAGCGACAGAAATGATGTCCTATACACAGTACACCATAAAAATATACACACTCAGATGAAATACAATCTCACACTTTCTATATTAGGGTTTAATTGCATATAACTTTAATATTTGGACGTGGTCATGACGATAAAACATGCAGTGGGCTGTGGGCATACCTTTCAAAGGTAAAGCGATTTATGATACTAGGTAACTTTTAAAGCCGCAATTGCTTTTGGAACGAATGATGATTTGAATCATGAATGAAGTAGTATTTAAAAAAAACAAAATTTGTTCCCGAAATCAAACTAGATGTCGCTACGGTACGTTTTTGATTTCTCCATGACAACCCTTCCGGTTTACTTTCATGTTTAAAAGTAAATTAGTTTTCAAAACTCAATAAACAATTCGTATTCTATTTGTACTTTTTCGTATCTGCATTGATATCTAAATTTCGAACTTTTCAAATTTTAGTTTTTTAATATGTTAGTTAAAAAGATGGGACATGACTGTCTTTGGTCCATTCGTTTCCTGCAAAAATCAACTTTTGCTAGAGTCGCCATCTAGTGAAGGTGCTTTTTTAGTGCTTTCGTTTTTTTTTAATACTTCCTCATCGCAGACATGAAATGCTAATCGATTACAGAAATTTGACAAATATGCACTATTGATTGAAATCCTTATACATTCACAAGAAGTTTAAAATAATAACACTAAATTATTAATTTAGTCGTGACCGAAAGGCGAAGGAAAGATATTTCCGTTTATGTTATCGTTAATCTTAATGCTTTTAACGGAAACATTAATCAACTGTTGACCATTATTAATTACAACCGACGAAATTATCCGATACACGCATGTTTGAAACTATCGACGCGGTTTATTGGCTGACCATGCTTTCAGCTAACTCTAAATCGTCCTATTATATAACGAAAACTAACTTTGAACAATTCAAATCTTTTCGTCTTATATTTTTCTATAAATCACAACCAAAACCCTTACTTATTTCCCTCTGACCACGTGAGAGAAGCCGCGTGAAGCTCTTAGTGTATAATAATATATTTTTCATAGTCACGAATTTTCACAAGGTTGTTGTCTCGAATCTCATCTGGAGGCATCTGAGATAGTGATTTTTTCAAGTATATTTCGCAATTATGCTTTTCAAAGTAAAAATCAAATTTGCGAAACATAGGTATACTATATTGTAATTTTAGAATAATCTTGGAATGAATTGTAAATTAACTTTATTATATTTTAGCGCTTTAATTTATAAGTAATCTTGTCTATGAAGCGATAGTTATAACAAATTGGCTGTCTATGGGGTCGGTGCATAATAGTTATCATCGAATATGAATAGAATAGAGTTATTTTTCGCCCTAAATTTACAAAAACGTTCAATTAAAAATAACGTAAGTGAAGACACTTTGTTTATTATTTAATAATATATTAATTAGTGCTGTACTTATTTCTATAAATAATTCCACATTTATCCTGATGGGATACTTATTAATAAGCGTCACGAACTTACCCATTCCTTATTCTCTGACAACATTCTTATATCTGAACTTTCTGTAGTCAGGATTTAACCTTTGGAGAAGTAGAGGAGACGTTCAAATAACGTCCGTCAAAAAATATATAAGTTAGGAAAGTTCCCCGGAGAAGTTCGTATAAAATTAAAAGTAGGCTACTCATTTCCATGGCAGTTTTCATTATAACTTATGTTTGTCGGGTCATTTATTAATTTTGAACGTACAATAGGTTAGTTTCGGTAGTTAAAAATGAGTCACGATATTGCACGAAAACTAAAATTTACCTCATAATAAACACAGAGATTCTGATATTGAGTCTTAATTAAGCACGATTATCTTATTATCTTAAGATTAAAAGTCGTGATTTTTTTGTATGTGTGCATGTGATTTGAAACACGTCCCACCATTGTGTGACGCCACTGTGGTGACAACTGCCAGATTAGTCGTATAGTTATACCTATTAACTATGAAATTCCTAGAGGCGCTGTTCTTAGCTTATTTATATATTTTTATTTGTAATCGATCGTTAGATGGCATTGTTCTTGTTTTATTGACAGCTTTTAATCTTCTAGTCTATGCATCATATCACAATGACGTCATGAATATGACGGACAGCGTTTTTGCGGGTACAAAAAAAGTGTAAATTGTGATTTAATTTTAAGGCAAAAATAGAACGTTTTAACTTTCCCGAAATATTACGGTTTATATAAATATTCGGTAATATACGGGGGTACGATTCAGGAACATTTGAGTCATACCCCCAGACAGGGCGAGGATGTGCAATGCCCAGTTAGGGCGTGGACCAACCAGGTTATCTCCGTCGAGGGGACCGAAGATGCGCTACTGAGCAATCGCTAGTCCTTATCCGTCCAGTTTGGAGGACCCACATAGGCTGAGCTCCTCGCTCCTCCTCGCCCGTCGATGTCCAGCCCAGTCCCATCCCTCCACAGGTAAATGAACCACCTTTAATTCGAGTGTTGGTTTTCGCCTTTTTGAAGTCTGTTTTTATTACATTATTATAGTGATCTTAGAGAGTGATATATAAAAATTTTGTTTTACATTTTAAAAATCACAGAGACTCAAAATACTCGACCTTATGTTTTCTTCGACGAAATATATGTTATCATAGTATTTTTTCCGCTCCGGTTAGAAGCTCTAAAATAATGGGCTCAGATATCACTGAACCGATAAAAAAATATATTTACACTTCATTGTACAACACACTACAGAAATTTATAAAACGATACAAACATAAAAATCTTAATTGTACAGTAGGCGGCCTTATCGCTAAACAGCGAATTCTTCCAAGCAACTTAAATTGTGAGAAGAAATCATATGCACAGTATAGAGCGAGGGTAGGGTGTGCGCATTGCAAAATATTTAATTATAATAATAAAGATATACCTAATAAAAAATCTTACGCAGGTGACGTAGGCTATAATTCATCCGGGCAAAATCACAGGATGTCAGATAGTGATATTATAAAGCGACAAGATTTGATTGTTTGTTTGTTTTTGTTTGCATCGAATAAGTTCGTACTACTAGACCAATTTTAAAAATTTCTTTCACCTACGTGAAGTTTAATTATACGCGGTTATAGTTTTTATCATAAAAACTAAAATGTTAACCAGATTTCTTTTTTAATATTATTTACTAAGGGAGTAGCTCGACGGCGTAGAGTTGGAGAATCGTTGTTGTTAAGCAACTTTCACAAGGGTCGGTCACGGGATGGGTGACCACATAATTATTTATCGCGATCCACTCTGTTGGTCCCGTCTGCATTTGCAGTCGTTAATACCCTCCAATCCGCATTGGGCCAGCGTGAAGGGTCATGGTCGTACTCCTTAACCATCCATAAGGAAGGCCAAAGCCGCTGCAGTGGGGATATAACAGATATGATGCCCATAAGTTTTCTGCTTAAAGAAGAATTTTGAACAGCGGTTTCAAAAACGCAGAATTCGGTTATCAAACACACAAATAAAACCTACAGTCGAATTGAGAACAACATACTTTTTTGAAAAATGTTACAAACATAGAATTTTCTTGAAGTCAGTCAAAAAGAAACACGTGTGTAGTCACGTTGCATCACCAATATCAAAAGACTGGGATAAGTTTAGTGTGCCGTGCGCTATTTGTTTACGACCGACTTACGACCCGAGATCCAAATAGATCTCTTGTTGTCTGATCACGTCTTCACACATTCAGACATAAAAAATATTATAAAAAAAAAACCGGCCAAGGTTCCGTTCAAATATTAAATCTAACAACCATACACAGCTGTATCCCCGCGGCAATACCCGCGTAAATTACAGTCTAGTTGCCTACGTATGATGTAGCTTCCCTTAGGTAAAAGAATTTATGAAAACGGTCCAATAAGATATTTACTGAAAGAAAAATGCTCAAAATTCCACCAGGCCCAGGTACCCCGAAATGAGACTATCAGTATTGCATTGTGTATGTAAAATAGATCATATATAGTAATCAATTTTTGTTTCGGACCCTATTCAATGCAAACAACAAAATCTTTCGACTTTATAATATTATAATTATAATATATTACTCGGCATAGTTTTTAATTTTCCAATATATTCCTCAAAAGTGGCCACATGCGTAACATTAATTTCATTGCGTTTAGATTTAGTTTTATTGATACCTTTACAGGTTCCGTGTTCACATCTGTCTCACGCCAGACAACCTAGTCTTCCTCGCGATGAATATTTAGCACTATAAAAAAAATTTAGCACTATAAAAAAGCTGGAATTAACCATCCAAGGTGCAGATAAAGGAAACGCTACGGTAATAATGGATACGTCAGATTACAGTGGATAAATATCAGAATTGTTTTCGGATGAGAATGTATACAAACTTGATAAGAGTGAGCCTACCACAATATCCTTAAAAAGACAAACGATCTCATAAAATCGATTTCCGATTCGTTGGATTTGAACGTCGAGCATTTGATTACTGCCTGTCCCAAACCACCAAAGTTAAGTTAAGGGTTGCCGAAAATACACAAACTTAATGCTCCGCTGCGACCGATTGTTAGCTAAATCGACTCATGAACCTACAGATTGGCTCGGCACGTAGCTAAGATAACCACCACTCCGAGGTAACGCTAAAGCTTTTGCGAAGGAGTCATACAGTTTCTTTAGTGGGATTAAAGATCTACGTCTCGCGGATAATGAAACTATGGTCAGTTTTAATGTCCAGTCTTTATTCATATGTCTACAAGACTGCATTGATAATGATAATGCACATTGAATATGCAGAATTACTAGAATATTGCGTTAAATCGGACTACCTCCTATGGAATGATGAATTCTATTTGCAAGTAGATAGTGTGACCATGGATTCTCCTGTATCAGCCATAGTCGCCGATATTTTCATGTAGGACTTTGAGGAGAAGGCCCTATGCACATCACCTATCCAATCCAGACTGTATAAATGGTACGTAGAAAGATATGTCAATGGTACACCTTTACTATTTTACCAACGGATAAAGTTTCTGCTATCTTAAACCATCTTAATTCTATAAACCCTAAGATCCAATTTACTATGGAATTAGAGGCAGATAATAAACTAGCCTTCTTAGATATATTACTCATTAGGAATCCTGATCAAAGTTTGAGTCATACTGTGTATAGTAAAGTAACGCATACTGATGGGTACCTCAATGGTGACTCGCACCGTACCACAGTCGAGCGGCCACCCACTGTACTTCCATACATAAAAGGTGTCACAAACAAGATTGAAAGGATCTTGAAGCGAGCTTTCATTTATACTTACTTTAAGTCGTCGAAGAAGATGAACCAACTCTTAAGACCTGTCAAGTGTAATATCCCCTTTCAAAGTGCAGGTGTATACAAACTAGAATTCGACTGTGGGCTCTTATATATCGGCCAGACGAATAGGGGCATAGGAACTCGCGTTAAATAAATCTGCAGTGTGTGAACATCCGTTAGGAGGATCCCAGCATTACATAAGATTTGTCAACCCAAAAATACTTGTGGCTGAACAAAAATTCATTCCTAGAATGATATGCGAAGCTATTGAAAGTAAAAAACATCCAAATTTTAATAGAGATGAAGGTTGGCATAAACCACCGGCTTGGGATTCAGTAATTAGTCAAATAAAATCTCAATCCGGAGCACACATTGCAAAACCAAAAGATACAGTTAGTTCATTCTGTAAATATTAAATCAAAGGGAGCAATTCACTTTTTCTTGTCGGATTTTGTTTCGCCAGTTCATCTCAGACAAAATTCCCAAAGTTGGAAGTGGTAGTAGATTACGGTAGCCAGGGGTAAATTAATAAGTCAAACGTATTTTAAAAATAATTTAATTTAATTCAATAAATGTAAATGTTGCCACAATATATTAAAAAAATATATTTATTATCAATGTGTCCAATGGTATTGGTTTTTGAAGGTAGCTATACTTTTAATTAGTCTTATGTGAACACGGAACCTGTAAAAGGTCCTAACTTCAATAAAACTAAATACAAACGCGATGAAACCGTTTAAAAGTTGTTTCATTTATGAATAGTGCGAGTGAAGATATAAGAAATAAATATATTAATTTCATTACTTAGATACGAATATATAAAAAAATGACGCTTTATTTCAATATGCTGTCCTCTGTACCTATCTCTTTCATTAATTGACCTGTTGATTCCGTCGCGTTATCTTTATGCGAAGTTAAAATGAAGTACTTACTTGACTTAAGTAGTCGACGTTCTGAAAACGAGGGTCCAATTATTGATGAGAGTTATTGCCGTCTCTCCCACAAAGACTTCAACATTTTATGAACAATAGAAATCCCTTGTGATATTGTCTTGGAACTGGATGTCCCGACAATAAATTGAAACCTACATCATAGACAAATTGATCTTTTTGCTGCCTACAGCCCTGATTTTAATTAATGTACTTTCATCTAATACGTTATCATCCTTTGTCTATTAACGTCCCCACTGATGAGACTTAGTGCTTAATGACTGAATACTGTACACCAAATGTGTGGTGTTTGGTCACTTAATTATATTACTCGTCTTACGACAGTGGCTTCGCTCGTGAGGTATATTTTTCATACTTCTTATGGGTTGAATTTCTAAAAATCCTTTCGTAGTGCTCACTTAAATAATGAAAGGGACCTTTGTACAAAATTTCAAGTTTCTAGGTACAGTTCTAGTTGATATATACTCGTAAGTCAGCCAGGTTTGCATTTTATATTTATACACAGATTGTGGATATGTTGCAATGCGTGTTTTTGTATAATTTCTTTACTAGCACATGTGTATAAACTTTCATGGTTTTCTTCATGGCTTAATTTAATTATCCTGTTCAATGTTTTCGTATATTTATATTTTATAACTTTTAAAAAATACGTCCTTCCATTAATTTGAGCAGCATCGTTTAAGTTTAAAATTTGCCATCCACATTATTAACACCATAGCTTAGTATAATGTATAGTAGACATAATATGAACAAAGTTGCATAACACACAGCTATTTCACGAGCTAAATAAGATAACTTCACGTTCTCCCTCACAGTTGGCTTCAATCATATTCATTCTTGACTTCAAAGCTCTAAAATTACCAATTTTCAGGCACAATGCAATATCGAGAATTATTCAGGGAAACTGCATTTTAAAACTGCATTCGCTACGAATGTGTGCCAAACAAATGTAGCACTGCAGTGACCTACAAATCGAGTGCGCGTCAATTTTCAACTCCTTCCCATCGGAATAAGAATTATTACAATAAGTTTAATTTAAAGTTAACGATATTTTATAAGTTTAAACGGGTCAGCGCACTCCACGCACGGCTGTTCTCTGTTTATACCGAGAACAACCTTGCGTAATCCTGTTATGAATTTTTCAGTAGTAGGTTATTTAAACTTATTGGTTCGACATACTTTAACTTTTACATTATTACTCTTTTCATATCTTCTTATTTGTTATTACCTACTAAAATTTGCTCGTCTTGTTCATAAAAAATGACCAGATTAAAACGACCACACCAGATAAAAAGAATTAAAGTTTCGAATTCCCATATCAGAGCAACAATTTCCCAGAAGACAGTAATTTATCTGGAACCTATGGAACTTATTTTAAGGTTAAATGTATATTTAATGCTCATCGACTGGATTTGTACTGGCTATTGGTTCGAATTTTATGTCGGGCACCTGGGACTGGTGTACTCTAAAGTATTTTTTCATTAAATAAATATCATGATGAAATTATAAGCGAGATAAATTTGATACACTTCCCGCTTTGCGATTGAGCTGAAACTGTTGCATGACTGGAATTGGAATTGAGCCGGAAGAAAGCCGTGGTCGTTTGATCTGTCTCGACAATGAATTTGGTCCGAAATAATATTCAAAGTCTGACGATAGAACAAGGACTGTAGGAACTCAATAACCCCGTCGAATTTGAACTCGTTAGTATAGAACAAAGCGCTTCCTGCGGTCTGTCGTCGAGATCTTTAAAACTACGCAACGGACTTTAATGCGGTTTTCGTCAATATATAGAGTGATTCAAGAGGAAGGTTTATGCCGAAAAATGAATATATATATAAATAAAGTCTTGTTAGTTACACCATTTATAACACGAGAACGGGTGGACCGTTATTTATGATATTTGTATTTTAAAATTTATCTTCCTCTGGAATACGATAATTAGTAGTGTTATATTTTATCAACAGTAATAATAATAATAAAATAGTCATTTATCATAATAAAACGCAACTGACAGTTTATACCTATATCTATGATTTTGATTATTCATTGACTGTTATGAGGAACCAAGAAGTATATATATATTTTTACATTCAATTTTCTTGGGCGGAACAAAGTTCCCACTAGTAACTATAAACAAGTATTATATCCCACATATGAGCAATATACAAAAATGCTTATTAAAAAAGATTTTTTCTTCCAATTCAGTAAAGAGGTAGCTTGTGGAATTCCCATAAAGTTTCACATCAAAAAGTTTCCATACCAAAATACAAACGAGCTTTTATATCAGCGGTATCGTCATGCTTGTCCAAACATCAGGCATTTGATCGATTTACGCGAATTCGAATGCGCCCGGTCGGTAGTCAAATGTTTTGTGTACGTACTGTAACAACAAACACGGACGGACGTATGGTGCAATCGCAAACAAGATGTTTTGCTTGTTTATATATAGACATAACGTTTGCGGGTGGCATTGTTAAGATTTGTTGATGATTTTGAAGCGGTCCCAATTGATTTATGACTTTTATTAATCTATTTGTTCATGTTTATCCTGCAGACGGTTCGATTTGTTCGTTGTTTCCGTACTGTCGCATGTGAATTAAATATTTCACGTATATTCCAAGTTTCGATACGATGAAAGCGTTCGATAGTTCTATCTGTATTTTCTTCACAAGTAACATATTTCCATACTTGATGGTTCACAGGATATAAAAAGCCGATAACAGTCCGGAGAAGCATGTCGTGGTATATAATGGACTGCCAAGTTCCAAAAGAACATAAGAGATGCGATGGGCAGAAGCCATATGTTGATTACACCAATATGACCAAGATCCTCAGTCATATAACATGGACTTTATGATATCAGAGACCCATAATAAAGTACCAATACATCCCCTTACGTCAAATTTTTCGAGTGCGGAGTACACAGAATTACCGATTTCGGCAAAAGAATTTGGTCTGAATCGTCATAGTAATCTGCGCCGTTTAGTTAATAAAGATATTGGATCTTTTTGGATATGCTGTTAATTGTACATAGCAGTACGACAGCTTACCACAATATGTCAAATTTCTTAATTGATTGTGATATATATCCTTAATGCAAACAGATTTAAAATCAAGTGGAGAAAATTGACAGTCTTATATAACCTGACTGATAGATGAAAGTGTCGAAATTTAGTTTGACGCAGTGTGAACCATCTCTGTAAACATTCACCTTAAATTAGGCATGACTCAGAAATGGTCTGTTAATTGTTAAACACTACATGTTACTTGCTATTTTTAACTGACTCGAAAAACAATAGCGTGCCCGCTCTAACGAAAACCGTTTACGTAACTAGACGAATAATAAATTGAATTGGTAAACCAATTGTATTCTCTACGTAATAATTAAAACTATATTTTGGTACATAACAACTTGTGTGACTCAAACAATTGATAACCTCACATATAAGTTCAGCTCCTAACCAAATGTTTCGTCATGTCATACTATACTGGAGCAATAAGACTTATACTTCGCGTAGTTATGGATAAGCGCCGCACCCCGCGATCGTTATTGCTAAGCGACTTTCACTGGATGGGTGACCAAAATTGACCAACTCGAGCTATTCCATGCTTCAGAAGGCATGTCAAACCGTTGGTCCCGGTTGCGGTCTTTAACACCAACCGCATTGGGTCAGCGTGGAGGGCTAGCCCATTCTTCATAAAGAAGGCCTGAGAACCTCAAGTGGGGACATAAAAAGGGTGATAATGAGCAAAAGCAGTATTCTCTTAAAAAATATAGTGATGTCAGAGCATTAGAGTTTAATCAATTTCAACCTACTTCAAAAAGTAGTAATAAAGGTAATATTTGTATATCTAATGGCACACAGAGCTGTGTTTGATGCTGAGTTTGACGATGTAAATTAACTGAATACCAAAGCTGGACAGACTGCATATAAGGCATGGTACGAGTATTTGTCTTCAATCTTTCTCGATTTTTTAGCTAGTGGTATTTTTTTAACCTTTTTCAATAAACTATTAATTATTTTTGTTTATATAAATAACTACCTCTTGCTATAAAGTATTTGATTAAAATATGTATCCTTTTTATTGTTATATTATACTCGTATATTTGCCTGTCAGTGTAATCATGTAAAAGCAGCATTGGTGTTATAATATTAGATATAGATCGTGGTTATAAATATACGCGAAGCTGCAGACCCACTGGCGTCGAATAAGATGGGTCATTAGGCAAATGATGGGCTGAAGGCCTATCCTCATTTTTGCCTTATAACACTCGCTCTAGATTATCGAAACTATATTTATTTATATAGTGAATAATTAATAGTTATCTTTTGAATATCAAAGAGGATTATTTTCTGCAAATATATTTTAGTTCGAGAGTGCAAAATCCGAATTCAGATTGTTGACAATTGGTTTTATAAATTTGGAAAATAAAACTATGTGAGATGGGTATAGCCCAAAAGACAAGTTCATAATGATTTATGTGTGGATAAAAATAAATGCCATTTTTGAAAAAGCGAAGCAAGATCGGCATATAAGTGATTACGAGGTAGCAGGACAATTGAAAATTGACCACAAAATACTTTTGAGCCAATTGAAAAAGCTAGGACTCGATATTTGAGTACCACAAGTTCTAACTGAACAAAACTACTTTGTCGTGGCCTCATTTGCCATTCTTTATTCAGATAAAATGAAACCGAACCGTTTTTGAAGAAATTGGATGACGTTAAACGTGTGTTGATAAATGGGTCAAGTAGTCTACCTTTTGGTCATCGTTAAAATTTAGTTCGGCTTCGTATACAAAACGTATGAAATCACGCGTTAACTCACGTTAAAATGATGCTGCCTGTATGATGAACAAAATTTTTATAGTCGGGCAGAGTCGTCA